AATGATGCTGCATAAGCCGGCTGTGCCCACTCCTGGACGGCAGAAGGTTCATTTGGAACACACTCAATTCGGAACACATTGAAGTGTCCAATTAGATTCATTTTGGAACACACCACTCAATTTCGAACGCAGGCTCTAAAACACCACTTTGCTCAAGTTGACGCTTTTTTTTGCGTCTGATCGCATGAGCGCTCTGAAGCACCAGTCAGCCCCGGTAGGGTTTCCGCAAAAGACCGGTATTATGGCGCCTTTCTGATCTAAATTTTACCCTCGGGTGGCTCGCAACAGGCATGCTGCGTTGGAATGGTTCCTTTTGTCGTCTCAATTTAGGTCTGCTGCAGTGGCATGGTTCCCTCCCGCTCAAAAAATCTTACCCTCGGGTGGCTCACACAAAGGTGCGCTACGTTGGGATGGCTCCTGTCTTCTCTAAATTTTACCTTTCGGGTCGCTCAGAAAAGGTATACTACGTTGGAATGGTTCCTTTTTATGTAAATTTTGCCCACGGGCTGACTGCTACCTTGGAATGGGTCCGTTCTGTTCCAAATTTAACGCTCGAGTCGCTCGCAAGAGGCATGCTGAGCTGGAATGGTTCTACGTACCTTGGCTTGGAACGGCTCCTTTCTCTTCTAAAGTTTACCCCCAGGGCCCACAAAAAGTTTTCACGGGGTCATTTGAATGATGCCGTGGAATTGTGGCTCAAGCGGCAAACGATCTTATCACATCTTATCACACTCCACAACCGTCACTGGCTTTTCTGATGGGCAACCCTTTTTGTTCACCCTTGAACACGTTTTTTCACTCCGCCTTTTGTTTTCACCCTCCACCTGTCTTTTTCACCCTCTCAACCTTTTTATTGAACCTCTACCCTTTTTTTGACTCTCTACCCTGTGGTGGTTGATGGATATTGTTCTGTTTGGATGGATGGATGCTCTTTAAACAAAGGCGGGAGGGGGTGCGGGGGGAGGGCGCACCGCCTCCCCCGCCGTGCAAGCCAAGTGTCGACGGCAATTTGGGGAAAACACAGAGTTACGCGGTTCGGTTTCTTTGTTCATTGGTTGCTTGGTTTGTTGGTTTGGCCGGTTTGTTGCTTGGTTGGTTGGTTGGCACTCCGTTGACACATGGATGGATGGATGGATGCGGCGTAAATGAAGGCGAAAGGGGGTGCGGGCATACACTGATTGATGGTCATGGACAGGGATGGTTGGTTGGCTTGCTTGAGGCCGTTTGATTGCGTGATGCAGCGCTTGATGGATATGCAATTTTTTCCGCTTGTTTGCTTGTTTGATGGAAGGATGGAAGGATGGATGGATGGGTGGATGGATGCTCTGTAAATAAACGGGAGGCCCCCCGCCATACAAACCATTGCAAGCCAAGTATCGACGGCAATTTTGAGAAAACACAGAGTTATGTGGTTTGGTTGGTTCGTTGGTTGCTGGGTTGGTTGGATGGTTTGTTGGTTTGGCATGGTCGGTCGGTTGGTTGGCACTCCGTTGATGGATGCATGGACCCTTTTTGACCCTCTGCCCTTTCTTTTTCACCATCCTTCCTTTGGTTGGTTTGTTGGTTGGTTGGCTAGCTTGATGTTGATGGATTGCGTGATACAGTGGTTGATGGGTATACAATTGTTTCCTCTTTGTTGCTTGCTTGATGGGTGGATGGATGGATGCTCTGTAAATATAGGCGGGAGGGGGTGTGGGGGGTGGCAGGGAATAATTGGTATAGCGCGACCCGCCCCCAATAACCAAGCGAATAAACTCTACCATTCAGCCAAGACATAGGATATGTTTAAACGACTAATGAGAAGTTACGGCATATAGTTGAATAGGACTATGACAATGTTTATATTTTATCTGTGCTTTTTGATCAAAATCAAACCAAGTCAACAAAGATAGTATTTTTAAACGTCGTTCACAAGGACAGTTGTCATCATCATAATGTCACATATATATATATATATATATACATATGCACATATATATATATATCACACCATTTTTCTACAACTGCAATGTCTAAACATATTTACTGTAGTTTCATTCTCTACATATATATATATATATAGAGTTATATACACATGCGTTGCCAACATCGCAAAAACACATGAAACTACAGCAATTTGGATTGTAGAGAGTTCTGCAGGAAAACACAGAGTGGTGTGGTTTGGTTGCTTGGTGTGTTGGGCTACCCACCCTTTTTTTCTTACCCTCCTTCCTTTGGGGTTGGTTCTGCCTGCTTGGTTTGTTGGCTGCTTGGTTGGTGGGATGGTTTCTTTGGATGGATGGATGGATGGATGGATGCGCTGTAAATACAGGCGCAAGGGTGGGTGAGGGCGCAACTCACGTTCCAGACTTCCAGGTCAGTTCCTGGAGTCTGGAGTGACATCGTTCCAGCGAGTCTCTCTACAGGTTCCGGGGTACCTGCTTCACCGGCGGTGGGTTGAAAAAGAAAGGGTCGAGGGTGAAGAAGAAAGGGTGAGGGGTGAAACAACAAGGTGAAGGGTGAAAGAAACATGCTACAGGGCGAAAATGACAGGGTGCAGGGTGAAAAACAATGCTTTAGACGGGTGAAAAAGAAGGGTTCCAGAGGGTGGGGGAAAAAGGGTTCTTGAGGGTGGAAAAAAGGTTTCGAGGGTTGAAGAAAAAGGGATGGTGAAAAAGCATTGTTCAAGGGTGATGAAAAAAGGGGAGCCCTTTACTGATGTCCCATTCTTTTGTATGAGATCTGATCGACCTTCTATTTTGTATTAGTTTTTGCTTAGTCTCAGTTAGCCCTGAGGCAGCAATTTGCAGCAATTGTTTGATCTCGGACGCCCCTCGCATGCCATACCTAAGAGGACTGCCCTTGGAGACCGGCAACACGGCCTTCACCTCCTACTTAACCTCCCAAGGGCCAATCCGGGCCAATCCATGGCCATGCCATATGGCTAAAGCCTGATTTGATGTCGATTGTGGCTATTGCGAGACTCAACATCCAAAAATGCCGAGACATCTCAGGAAAACCATCGATGTGGCAAAATTGACACAGGAAGACTCACCTTTCAACCACATTGTGGGTGTGGCTCAAACTATGGATTTCGCAGGACAACTTGCTACTGTCCTATCAGAGCAGTGTGGTGTTGTGCTCCCTGTGCAAACCCTCCTGCGACCATGCCATCATCAAGCGCGTTGCTTGTTCAGCTTGGACAACTTGGGCCGCTTGTTGCGCATGTGCTTCCTGCATCACCGAGCCCGTGTGCACACACGTATACAGCTGTAGATACTCACTCGTCCCAACAACATGTTCTTTCCGTGGACCACCCCACTATCCCTAAGTTTGAGTGAGAGATTGCTTGCACCAATGTCTGGACCAAGACAAATCTCATACCCCAGTAGCAAACTCTTTTTACGTTCTCGTTCTCAAAAGCAGACTCAAAAGATACCCGTGTCTCCACGGAGAGATGATGCGACTCGAACCTCCAAGAACTTCTGCACGACGCATGAGGAAACCCACCAACGAGCAAGCGACGAAAGCTCCACGTTGCGACGAATGAAAAGCCACTGGAACTTGACATGGAGTGGACACCCAATGACACCGAAAATGCAATGTGAATTCACTCAGGAGGGCTTTTAAAGGATACGGCTCGATATTTCTCTCAAACTGATGACAAACTGACTCAAACTAAACAAACTATAAATATAAATATATATAAATACAAATCTACTATATAACATATAAATTATTGGACCCTTCGCCGCTGCAAGTGGCGTCCTGCAGCAACTGATTCAGCAAGTCGGTTTGGAACTGTTCCGGCGATGCGGATGGCGCATTGGCTTCCTGCTGAGCACTCGGAATCTCTTGACACCCCTGAAACAGGCCTGGCCTGTCTACACGCAGCCAACTGATCACATGCGTGTGGATCAAGAACACATGGTGTTCTACCATTGAAAGGACGCTTGAAATCCCAGCCTGTGGCCATGGCGTCATCAATTCAGGGTGATACCTGGGCAAGCACTGGGAACCTTGGCCCCATGAGTAAGGGACTTGTAAACAATCGTCAACACACAGGCGTTCCACCGAACTACAGTAAACGTGGAACAGCGCATCACATGACCGGATCGGTGCCCATGGAGTCATTCGATGAAACAAGTGATCGGTACATGGATGTACGGATCGGTCCTCTGGGTGACCAGATGTGATTCATAAATAGACCAGTGCCCCAGTCGTGGCCCCTACACGACAGGAACGGACCTCATTTTTGATTGGAGCTGGTCATACAAAAGCACTACTTAATGACTTAAGAGACCAGGTTTGGGTCTTAGAATGTCTTAGATATGGGACCATTGCTCAGCACTGGGGTGGGGTTTCTGTCCGAACAACAGCTTACGGCTTACGAGGATTGAGGATCAGTTGGAGAAGCCAAAAAAGTCGCGGCGACTCGTTCGCCAAGGCACACATTCTGGTTCCACATCAAGTCTCGTTCGCAACACTGAACGAGTTGGCGCTCTCACACACTAGGCTGATGCCGAAGACACTTCCGATGCGGAACGTCTGAGTTCTCTGTGGGGGAACGTCCGATCCCGGTGAGCTCGGGGTTTCACGAATTGAATGCTAGTAGACTAGGAGTGAAAGCATCCGACTAGTCCTCAAATCTAAACAAGTGTTGAACCTGTCCTATCACCATGTCTAGACTGTGTAGACTCCGTTTCTGCTGTCCGCTGCAGGATCCTCATAACTGGTTGGCTTCAGCCAGTGTGGAGTCGATTCAAAAGGCACGAGGCCTTGAGCCCAACGAGGTGGAAGCAGGAATCCCGCCGTTTGCACAGAGTTTTTGCTTCAAGGATCTCACCTGCCGATACTCATGCCGATACTCATGATTTATCATCATGAGAATTACTCATTACTCATTACTCTTCTTGCCATCCAAAAGCAAAAGAAGGCCCCAAACGTGTGGGGCTCATGAGCGAAACGGAGACGTGGTGGACCCAAACATGCTGCCGATGCTGCCGAAACCGCTGCCGCGCCTGGAGGGTCTTCTCAGAAAGGCCTTCCTGAAGTTGTCCAACAAGCGCGGTCAGGTGATCAGACCTTTGCTCCTAGTAGCTTCTTGTTACTAGTAGCGATGCCAGGAGCCCCTAGTAGCGTCCTTGCTCCTAGCAGTAAGGCCAGGAGCCCCTAGTAGCTTTCTAGGGGAAGGTGGTCATACTTTCACATGAGACGCACCTAGAACTTATACCGCCGATGAGTGTCGCTGCTGAAACCGCTGGGTGATGAGAAGGGTCTTATCAACATGCTTGGTGGAGGGGGCCAGGCCGTGCTTCTGCAAGAATTGAACAGCTAACACTTCGCATTCACGTGGATATGTAATTTAATGATGTGTGTACTATTTTTCGGATGACTAGAATGTTACCAAACGGTTTTTGATTACTTGTTCGATGGATTCTATTGTCAGGCCACTAAGCCCCGACAACCCTCACCTAGATGGGATATCGCTGCCTTTGGCTCTTGCCTTCTTGATCCTTTTTGCATCTTTTTGCCGAATGAGAATGACTGTTCTAGTCTGGTGGATGGAAACGGCGATAGCCAACAAGAGATTTGGGGATTCAGTGTTTGCCAACTGGGTGCTGGGGAGACCTACAGTATAGATGTATAATATATATATATATATTTGAGCAGTAGAACCGAACAATCATATTCAATCATAATTACGCAATATCGCAATTCAACTGCAGCGCTCGCAGGTACTGTGCAGTCTCAGCTCAGATTGGTCTTCTAGTCTTGTTTGCAGCATTGCTGTTTTGCATTATAGCAGGCCAATACTATGTCAGAACTATACAAAAAGAATACACCATGCATCCGATATCATCAAATCAAGGTCCACATGATAGCTTTGAAAGGCTTCTTGCCGCTTGCCTCATCGCAAGTTCCGTCAGAAGCCTCAGTCAACTTCTCCAAGGGTCATCAGGGGAAGGTGAGTTCAAAGCAAAAGGCTCCAGTTGGTGCACTGTGCATCTGAGTGCAGCCCTTGCTTCATCAGGTGGGCAGAGAAAACAATGCTTTGCAAAGGGGACTGACAGAAATGCCATGCGGAACCTCACACAAACAACAATTGAGGTGGTTCAGGTGTCCTCATGTCGGTTCAAAGTGGTCTCTAGCTGCAAGCTCAGTGACGACCGCGTGCCGCATGACGAGGACCATCCAAATTTGAGGTTCGACCTGCGGATCGAAGTGAGACGGAAGGCCGACGTGCTGCGTTTCTTCTGACAAGATCTGACAAGCACACACACACAAGCACTGGAATCGACCGTTGACCTCCATGATGCTGAAGGCTAACTGCTTCGTGCGGATGTGCCGCAGTGGGCCTGGCAAAAATCAGGGGAGAACCTCTGCCAGCTTCAATACGTGTCACTGGAACCTCCAAGAGTTTGGCATAGCGACAATGAATTCAAAGAAATCAGCAGCTTTGATATTGAACATATCCTCCCAAATATGCGACACATGATCTCTCATTCGGCGACAAGCGCTTGCCAGCCATGGTTTGTTCGAAAAAACTCGGATCTCGTGCCTTCTTCACCACTAAACATTGCAGTGAATGAGATGAGGCCTTCAATCATACCCACCTGAAAAGGAGACTTTCGTCCCGCCAGGCGGAGATCTCGAACTTTCATCATGGGAAGTTCACATGATACATCCGTGCGGTGGAATCATTGTGCTTTGATATCTGTCGGCACCTGAGATCGCTTCTCTTCGATGGGTGCACAAGACGGGGAGTAGTAGATGATCTTCGCGTCCTCCACATTGGGTCGGCACGAAAACATCGTGTCAACGGCTGTGGGTCCGTGTTTTCGAAGAATTGTATTGGGATTTGGGATGTATTGGGCCTATTTGGGCCTTGATTCTGCGAATTCTGCACGCTTTGTGGAGGTCATCATGCCGATGGTTTTCGAGGGGTTAAATCTACGGGTCTACAGTAGACGACACGTTAATCGTTTCGATTACTACAACGGCATACCATTTGTCCACGGCTAAAGTCCACACTTGTCCAAACGCAGCAATCGCAGCACAAGTTTCCCACTGCTCTCAGCAGTTCTTCGGAACCACCTTGACCTTCATGGTTCTCTGAAACGAAGATGAAGATGCCTTGCATTAAACAGGGATGCATAATATGAAGTGCATGAAACAAATATAGATGAAGTTGACATATGATGGATCATGCAGCATACATATCCCTTGCAAAATCCACATGCGTATGGTAATTAGTAGCTATAATTAAGATGAAGTTAGATGAAGATGATGCGCATGAAGTGCCTGAAACGAAGATGAACACGAAGTTCATGAAATGAACATGAAATGTTGACGTTGATGATCCAACCGAACATCATTACCCCTAGCCCCCGTAAGCAGAACGGCATGACTGTTGTCCGGTCACATCAAAACCACGTTGGGGCCCACAATGCCGTTCACACCGAAAACATCCACTCCTTTGGCGAAGGAGCTTCAAAAATACGGCCTTCCAACATCTAACATCATCATTGTCGTTGAACCATTGAAATACAATAAAATACACTACTCCTCATCACCTCCTTGATCCATGTGGAATCCGCCGTCACCCGGGTGGCTTGCATCGCTTGCATCGCTCGAGTGGCTTGACATCGGTCCTGGAGCTCCTCTTCGCTGGGCTTCACCGAGTCGGGTACCTCGTCGGGGAACCGATTCCCTCCGTACCCTGCGAGGGTGGCGCGGCCCTCGTTGTAGAAGGATTTGAGACATTGGATTCATGCACCATGCACCAACATGCAGAACATGAACATGAAATATAGTTCTAGGCCATGCACCATGAACATGCAGACCTTGGATCTTTCTTTCGTTGTTACAACATGGTGTTTTGGGGTGAAACCAGGTCGACTCGACACCGACCTTATGTGGCGGGACCCCGGACCTGAGTTCCGGCAGTTTGGGGTGTCCAACGGCGGGGATGAAAGAACACTCTTTGAAGATCTGGAAACTTAACAATGCCTCCAACCTAATGGCAATGACCTCCAACCTATCTGGAAAAATAGGCATGCTCTTTTCTTGGATCTTTGAAACTCCCGGGGTGAGTCTATGGGGCTTCTGAAGTAAAAGCCATTCGGAATGCGCTCGTCTTAGTGGGGTCCGCTCTTCAAGTTGTGGGAATATGTTTTCTCGCTCAACCGGCTCAACCACCCATACAACCTTTTGCTTGGGTTCGTGAAGTGTACTGATGCATACTGATGCGTACTGTGCATCCGCCTCAACTTCGTTCTGACCGACAACACAAGCAGGTGGCGAACCAGTGACGGGTTGAAAATGAAGAAAGCTGCCCTTGACCTTAGCAAGTCAAACAGGAGAAGCCGAGATCTCTTTGATTTGCATGGTGCTTTTCAAGTGTCTCATGAATGAATGGTTTCAACGATTAAAAGAACCTAGCAACTCCCACTCAGTGTGATTTAAACTCTACTCTCCAGTCAGAAAAAGTCGATTCTATTGGTCCCGCAAGGACAGCAAACAATGCCCATTGGCAAACAACACCAAATCAGTGAAAGCCCCGTGACAAGATGCAAGGAGAGCAAATAACCCTCCTGGCAATGTCTACAGTTTATGGAAACATGTCATTGTGTCATGAATGCCAGGCAAAGAACTTAACAATCATATCCGCCAGATCGCAAGCAACACATTGCAACTCGAAAAACAACTCATGGCGCATGGAAACCACGGCACACCACGACTCGGCTTGGGATTCGCGCACTTTGGCCATGGCAGACATCACGAGGCAAAGACCTGTCACTCAAGAGACCATCAGTTGCTCCTGCCGGCGTTGCTCGGTCTGCAGATGCTGCCATCACTTAAAATCAGAGAAAGATAGAGAAAGAAAGGCATTTCATGTTTCTGTCAGTGAGACCTCTTCTGCTTCGCAGAAACATCCACATTCCACGGTGCCTTTCTAGACCTGGTCTTCGAGGTCCAAAATCAATACCTCGGGGCCCATCGACGCAATGCAATGCATAGAAACGGAAGTCAACAAAGGGAAGGGGAAGGAAAGGAGCCCAGAATGGGTAATTTTTGTGACTAGGAAGGGAGAATGCTCCTTCAGATCTGTTTCTTTGGGATTTTGGCCGCTCTGTCGCATCAAAGGATTCAAGGCAACCGATGGATCTGGGGGACTTCGTCCCACGAATGTTGCGCCCGTCTGCGGATGAGGGAGACCCGGAGACCCCCCCCCCCAGGCCAAGAAAAATCACGACCATCCACTGGGCGATCGCCAGGGGAACAACTGAACTCATTCCGACTTAGGGGGAGGCTATCGCTTCTAGGTTGGAGGCCATTGCTACTAGTAACAGGAAGCTAGTATTCTATAAGCAGAAGCAGAAGTTCTACTATATTAGCCTGCTATGTTGACCCTGGACCCTAAATAGTCCCAAGGAGGTGCTCTTTGGCATCTAAAAAGCCGGACCGCCGGACCATGGACCAATGGAAGGACGGATGACCCTCGCCTCCATCCATCGGCAGGTCAGGTGGGTTTTCTCCCAAGAGTATCTCTCTCTACTCGACAGCTTTAGCTGTGTTTGTATTAGGTGTCCAAACTGTCTACTTGACCAACACAGCAAAACAAAGGGGGCCCTCTGCGGCACCTCTTTCGTACAAGTCCTGGTTCAAACACCGTCCCAAAGATTCTTTGTTCATTCATGAGTTCGACGAATGATGTTGGTGAGTTCTCCGACTGGTTGCATCAGTTTCCCATGATCGAATGCTTGATGAACAGGCTGGCAGCCAATGGCAGCAACACGCACAAATTGTCCATGTGTTCATGTCACCAACGCCTAACCTTCTGCAGAATTAAGATGAATCAACATCTCAAAGGCTCGTTAAACTCCAAAACATCAACATCGTACGACCGTCCGCAGATCACGTCGCACGACGGTAAACACTGCCCCCCCCGACAGGGAAAAGACGCACCATGACACATGGAAAATCTGACCAACGCCTGCCGGACATCAATTGCCGTCGCGTCCCGACAACGGACGACTTTTGAGCCGAAGGCTGAATGGCGCACCGCGACCATCGCGACTAGACTCTGCGCAGCGTGGCAGCGTGGGACGTTCACAGCGGCAGCGTAATCCTGTATTTCGAGAAGAGAATGGAATGCAATGGAATGCACGTAGATGGACCTGAAGGCATATGAACCATGATGATGTATGTATGAATAAAAGACAAGCACTCTTTCAGGTTGTTGGACTGACTTGTCAGGCGGGGCACTTGGAGCGTGATCAAAGTGAGGTACACCAACTTTCCCATGTTTGTAAGATTCATGCAACTGCCCAGTTGCTGTCGCACCACATGCCATGAGGACGGCTCAGACAAAAGTCGTCAGGTGTTCAAAGCGACTGACGACCTTGGTCAAACCAAACACAAAACTCCCAGTGCAAGCAATCGTTGGTATGCATTGGTGCTGTATTTATACGACTTACATGCTGTAAAATGCTGTAAACTTGGTTGTCAAATGGCTGGTTCTTTTTCAGGCTGTGAACGCAAGATGTCAAATGCCAATTAAGATGATCTGCAGCATGAGAACAACTTTGGCCAAGAAAGAATCGATTCGTGAAAACCATGGAAGCTGGCAAGTGAGCTACTTGCTCTTTCCCAATAGATAGGTTTGGCTCCTTGCTGGAAAAAAGGACGTCTTCATTCCATCTGGTTCCTGGCCAACACAACTTCGTCTGACTATCTGCCATGGTGCATCGCCTGGCTAGTTATGACACAACTCCTGCTGCTAACTCCCACTGCTAAGCCAGTATCAAGCCTTGAGCGACACGAGTGTCAACATGTCAAGCAACACTCTCTGCTGAGTTGCTTGAACTATGCCGGCATGGCCAATTTCGCAGGAGCTTCATGATGTATGCAGTCCTTGCTGCTGTCCGCACTGCATCAACACATGACAATACCAACTGCTGTTTGCACTCTATCTATATATATAATTGACAGTGGTCGAGTCAATCGCAATGTATTCACGGGTGGATTGAAGAGTCTGATTCTGGGTCTAAACTACAAAACTCCAACATACTCCAACAAACGGTAACTATGACATCTATGACTTCTAAAAGGCAAAGAAGCATCAACAAGCAACCGCCAACCGCTTCAACATGCAGTCGTAATTACCGTCAATGGAACGGAACAAGTACCGTCGTTGTGCAGTCTGCTGTCGTCACCTGTCGTCACCTGAGGGTCGCGGCCAATTGTTGATACTGCTTCGCTCCTCCTCGAAAGCTGCGAAAGCGGCGAGTAGCTGCGACATCTCAAGGAAAACCCAAGCTCAAGCTTTCCTCACACTTTCCTCAGAGATTCCCCGGGTTTTTATGGATAAACAGATTTGCATGGTCCTTTTCACTGTTTCTATTGGCTCTCTCCCGCTGCCTTCTTGCTCAGCCACTCATGCAGCATGTCGAAGCACTCATCGAGTCCGTCAGCACCTTCTTTCTCCTGCAGTGTACCATGTGGTATCTTCATGAATCGTTGGTGGTATCTATTTTTAAATGTCCACCAACGATTTCTCTCATTCTTGGTGTCATCTTTGCCCAGGTCACATCCTTCCAGGAACTCTGTCTGTGTCTCTTTGTCTGCCTCAGCATGTATCATAATATATCCCTTTTTCTGTGACGCCGGCCTGCCTTTTCTACAAACCAAGCTTCATCAAGCAGCAAAGCACCAAAAAGTGTACCGTATACCAAATGTATGCCTGTTTGACGGATATTCTCTTTGATATCACTTGTTTTGTGATACTGTTGTTGCCACGAATACCCTGGGTCAATTTATGTTGCCCGTCGTTCTCCGCTTGGAGTCATTGCTTTTCGCCTGGATGTCTTGCAGGAGGCCTTTTACTCGGCCATCAAAATCCTGGCCAGAATGACTGAATCTCAGGAGTGAATCCAACTTCAGGAGTACGGTTCACTAATTTGAAGGTATTTGAAGCATAATCACTATAAGAAACATGCCACGGATATTAGAGGCCTTGGCCTAGTTTGTCAGGGATTTCGTGACACCCCTGCTACCCCGAATCGGCAAGCGTGGGCTGAATATGTCTGAATGTCATTTCATTCCTTGAGGTACCAAAATCTCGCCACTAGGAGCAAGGACGCTACTAGGGGCTCCTGGCCGTACTACTAGGAGCATCCTTGCTACTAGTAACAAGAAGCTACTAGGGGCCCCTGGCATCGCTACTAGGAGCAAGGACGCCAGCTGTTTCGACAGCTCCTCCGAAATTCCTGTGCCACTGCTGGATCGTTCCGGCTTCAACCGCAGCTGCCTGCCCTGCAGAACGGTCCCCCAAAAGCGTCCCCAAAACGGTCCCATCTCGTCACTCCCGGCCGCGGCAAGTGCTGGAGATTGAGAGCAAAGAGAGGTGATGTGTTCCTGCAGGGATCGAATGAAGAGGTGAGAGGAAACATTGTCCGCAGGTGCGGTGTGGTACTCGTCTTTCGCATTCTTTTTGTTACAACGTGGTGTACTCCAATGGATTTCACGATCTTGGAGCCCAGCATGTTTCATGCACTATATCATGTCCTTCTCCTCCAACTGTTGACCCTATTTTCATAATCCCATTTCCAGTGGGAATATGAGAGCTATGAGGTACACAGGTGAACTAAGTCCAGGCATCGAAGGACTGGGTTCGCACTTCTGAGGTCCCGGCGGTCACCAGGGAGCCTGAAGACCGATACGACGAGATTGCGGACTTTGGTACAAGCGGCTCTTAACGTATGATACGGAACCCTGGAATCGTCTTGAATTCAGAACTAGCATGGTCAAACTGTCAAACACCTCCGTAATAAACTATGGAACAAAATGGAAACATACTCAACGCTCAACTACTGAACGTTACAAGTCATGCAACATCATTGTAAAGTCCACGCATGTCCACAAGAAGGCATGAGTCTGAAAAAATTCTGAGTTAAAGCAGCTATTGAAGTCCAAAATAGAATCAAATAGATATACTGTATATATCTATATGTACATAAGTAAGTACATATCATATTGTCATATAAATTACATCCTCCATGAATATCACATGGAGGGTCAGCCCTGGTCATTCTTTAATGATTTCCTGGGGAATGATGAATGTCAGCTCCCTAGGAAATGAGGAACTCAGCCTCATGAAGCAGTGGCTGGCGTAATCTAGTGAAATCACCAGAAAATGACATGAAATTCAATCACCATTGGACCTGTGTTTGGCGTGTCTTCTGTTTGGACCTGCGTCTGCCACTTTCTAGCGGATGCTCTGGTGTCTGGACGTGCGTTTGTCATTCTTTAGCGGATCCTGCTTTGATCCTGCTTTCTCCTACATCATCTACATGTTGTGAGGACTTCCACAAGCAAACAAAGCATACAAAAGGTAGGTTGACTGAATGACAGCTGCTAAACTCCGTGATGTGCATAGTTTATCAAGATTCTGAAACATTCTGAAATTATATCTTCATATCGTGAACAAACAAAAAGTTAGAAAATTAGAATCCATTTTCTAGTGGGTGCAAAATCTTGAGGAATCTCCCACATTCCTTGAAAATAGCCCAAGCCCTTTCTAGAACATGAAAAAACACGACTCACATGCCCACGTATCCTCATTTTCTAGTGGGTGACTATGCTTGAGGAATCTCCCACATTCCTTGAAAATAACACCAAACCCTTTCTAGAAAATGAGAAGCACGACTCACATGCCTACGTATCCTCGTTTTCTAGCGGGGAAAATTCTTGAGGAATCTCCCACATTCCTTGAAAATAACGCCCCGCCCGTTCTAGAAAATGAGAAA